AGCCACCTATTTGGAGCTCAAAAGGCATTGCACCAAGAGCAACAAGCAATGAGGGACTACTTCGACAACAAATTCGACGCTCAAAAGCAAGAGAATGATGCAAGAATGGATGAGATCCGCGCCTTCATGAGGAACCGGCGTCCTTCCACTTCTTCCTCCTCAATACGGAGACGCTCGAGTCGACACTCCGACGACACCTTCTCCGACTCAAGTACACCGTCATCGAACACTCTTCGACGAGCTGCGCGTCAAGACCGACAAGCATCTCGGAACCCGCTACATGACAAGCATTCACATGAGCAAGTCGACGAGCACCTACATCATCCCGCACCACACCAAGTTGTTGAGTTCATCATGCATGCCTTCAAGCCAATCCGAGTCCTCAAGCGCTTCATGTACCTTTTGGGGTTCAACACAAAAAAACAAACGCGTGATGCTCACAAAAGTTAGTTAATTGTCTAGTTACCCTTTTTCTTAAACTTCCAAGCACATTCACCAACACATGTTCTTGACACTTGAGAGCGGAGGATATCTTGTCGGCTCGATGCTCCAAAAGTTCCTCCAAAGGCATATGATTGTCAACTTGAGGGTCATCATCTTGATCGCTTTGAGCGCCGTCTTGAACTTGCTCTTGATCTTGAACTTGTTCTTGATCTTGAGGTTGCTCGGAGGAGTGAACTTGATCTTGGGCATCACTTGGTGAACCATCATCACTAATAGGTTCATCTTGCTCTTGGTCTTGTTCATAGGGTTGAGGGCCTTCACTTTGTTCTTCGGAAGCGTGTGAGTCTAGTGTTGGTGATGGCTCAACTTGAGTGGAACCAGATCCAGAGACACTTAAATAGCAGGCAGTTTTGTATTATAGGCATGCAAAGTTGCGCAAGACACACCACTCCATCAGAAAATGCACCATTAAGAATAGGGATGATTCAAATCTAACAAATGGATACTATTTGTGGATTAATAAGAAAAACAACCAACATGTGCCTACTACAGGTGTCAGCCTGGCTATGCATGCATCCACAAAAAATATATTTCAAAACAACTCACCGCTATCTTGACAGCAATTTAGACTCGTATTACTACAAACACATCTAGTAAATATCTAACAATTTCTACTTCTATTACAACTCACACGAATATCACATAGAATGAGATGCTATGGAAGTTGTACACAACAAACAAACATCACGCGGGGTGGATCGAACACAACTTGGTTTCAGAGATACAAACTGAATCACACATGATGGATCTCCCCCGTCTGTCAAACAGTCTCACTAAAAACACGCCTACTGAACTAAAAACACCCACTGAACTAAAAACGCCCACCCCCACTGAATCTCTCTGTTCGATGGGGCAAACACTAGAACATGTATCAACTCCAGGCCTACCAGGCTACCACCCACTGAATTGACTCTATTTTTTTAAAGAAGGATAACCCCCGACCTCTGCATCAGGACTATGCATGCAACCATATATTATTAATAGAGCAAAATCCAACAGCCGAACACCATCATCCAAAAAAAAAATGCGAAAAACAAACCCTGAGGCCATATACCTCGAGACAGTAACTCCCCCAGATAACCACTAACCCTATGATACAAGACACAACATAAACGAAAAATACACAACTCCTAGGCTACCCCTTCAAGAAGGAATCACCGCACGTGCGCCGATGATGGTGAGTTCACCACAAGGTTGAACTTCGGATTCTCATCCCCAAAGCAAAGCTTCAATCCACCACCTTCAGCAAGCATACGACCCAGGCGCACAACGACATAGCCTGATCAAAGATCTTGTGTTTCCATCGGAGTGCATAAGTCTGAATTGAATCTCTAGACACAAAAATCTACCGTCCCGTTGAATCCATACACAAGATTTGTCGATTGGGGGCAAACCCTAGATCGATGGATACACAAAAGAAGAACACAAAAAGGGAGGGGAAATTACTCACTTCACTGCGGGGGTCTCTCCTCCCTTCTCACTCTCGACAACGCCGTCGCCTGGAACCCCTTCGGAGAGGAAAGAGTGTGGATTGAGCAAAGGAATGGGAATCACCACCTCCCCTCACGATGAAAAAAAACAGGGAAAATGCGAGGCGACAGCAACAACCGAGACAAAACAAAATGGCCCACCAGCCCAAAAATCGGGAAAAGAAACACAAGCAATGGCCCGCCCCTACTCGCACGGCCGCGAACGCGGGCCATTGCGCCTGACAACGTGACGCAATTAAGTTGCACGAATATTATAGACAAAACAAGATGTCGTTCTAGACTTAGATGTGAGATAATATTTCACATCTACTCCCTCTGTTCCTAAATGTAAGTCTTTCTAAAGATTGCAACAAATGACTACATACGGAGCAAAATGAGTGAATCTACACTCAAAATATGTCTACATACATCCGTATGTTGTTGTCTATTTAAAATGTCTAAAAAGACTTATATTTAGGAACGGAGGGAGTAGATGTGAAATAGCAGTTCCGTATAGATATAGGCTGATGCAGGTGCTGTGCTTCTGCTGGACGCGCGCGCAAGGCTTCGTTCCTCGGTTTGGTGATTGCACTAAGTATATATACAAGTACGACGCCTGCAAATTCACGAATAAGTGAAAGATGCTGTTTTTTCTCATGCGTAGTACTCCCTTCGTTCGGAATTACTTGTCGCAAAAATGGATGTATCTAGACGTATTTTAGTTCTAGATACATCCATTTCTGAGACAAGTAATTCCGAACGGAGGGAGTACTTTCAGCTGGCAATATTTTAAAAGGTCGTCAGTCCACTGTTTCCTTTCCTCGCTCAAGAAGGTCCTCTTACAAACCTAGTGGCTGCCGGTTCCCCCTCCTTTGACCAGGCTCACCAATATTGGGAGGGGTCTTCACCATTGATCGGCACCCCTGCTTTGACCGACCACAACGGCATTGGGAGGGATGGAGATAGATCGGTCCCCCCTCCTTTGACCGACCTCACCGACATTGGAAGGGATGGAGATAGATCGGTTCCCCCTCCTTCGACCGGCCTCACTAGCATTTGAAGAGATGGAGACAGATCGGTTCCCCCTCCTTTAACCGGCCTCGCCGACATTAGGAGAGATGGAGATAGATCGGTCCCCACTCCTTTGACCGGCCTCACCGGCATTGTGTGGGATAGAGAACGCCATCTATGAGTTGAGTTCTTAATAATAGTAGTATTTTATTAAATTGGTTTAGGGTTTTGATAGCCGTCTTCTTCATTGAAAGATTTATCTATTATTTTTACTTTTACGGCCGTCTTCAGAGAAATATATTGAAGATTTGCTAGTTTCTTTTAGACTTTATTTTGTAATTGCTGTAGTTAGCTCATGTATCTCTAACATGTACAATTCCCTACTATAAATATATCATGGTATTGATTGTCAAAAATATTTTGTTTCATCAAGACAGATTTTCCTTTTAGAGAAGGCACGCTCAACGACCAACAACAAATTACAACTATGCTGGTTCGTTTCTTCTTTCTTTGATTGCATGCTACAAGTCTGTCGAAGCTCGAAAATGAACAAGGGACACATGCACGGGGCGGCCTCGCCATACCAGTTTTTCAAGACTGCAATAGCCACTTACCAGGCATATCATGCCACGCAACAATCCTTCACTAGTCCAAAGGGTCGATGAAACCCACAGCCTGCCACAAAAGGAATCTAACAAAGAGGGCAAAATTGCCCCACCAAGAGCCAATGCCTCAGGTCTAGCAACATACAACAGCTTACAAATTAAGTGCCTTTAAAATCCAGAATGTATATTCTTTTTCTGTCGAAATACCAGTCAAATTATGGGCAAGCAAACAGCAGAGAAAGGAGGCACCAATTAGTTCCAAACATCTAAAATTGCTTTTAAATCAACCAGACTTATAGCAAACCAGCAGGATTCATGCAGGAAAATCACAATGATGCATGTAGCCAGAATCAGCAGTCACAAAAATAAACAAGCCATTACCAGTTACAAATCCAAAACAAGCCACTCAGTAGACATAAAGCCATGAGTGAAAACACATACTACCCACCATTCAGTTTATAACTACTAACATCAGATAATGACAACAGTAAATGTCTCCAGTGGACTTTAAGTACCAGTTCCACATGTTATGTTGCCAACATCTCAAATCTTCAACGTCTTTCCACTCGCACCGAACTCTCTTGCTTCTATCTCTCTCTGGCCAAAAAAAAAAAACAGAGATGTCTGTCAAAAACAATACTTTTAACATGACCGTATGTCAGGTTACCTAAAAATAATTTTAAAAAGGAACAAGTGCAAGGTTGAGTACATATGCAGTGATATCAATTAATTGGGCAAAACCAATAAAATGTCTAGGCTCAGTCCAGGATGCTGTGAATTAAAATTGTTGAAGCAGCTATATTTGTCAAAGGTACATTTTGGTATTTTTGACATCTTCAATTCAGACACTTTGCAGTGTTCAGCTCTGGTTTGAAATTATGCTTCATCTGCTATGTTCATTTTTGAATGCACTTGACTCGTGCAATTCCAAGTTCAGAAACAAACTACAGGTACGCTGTTATATTCACCAAATGCCCAGGTCATCAAATCTTAAAGTGGAGAGGTGAAGCTAATGATAACACTATCTCTATCAAGTAAAAAAGGAAGAAGAAAAAACAGGATTGAAACATGCAAAGGAGTGTCATCATGATGTGCAAGTCCTAATATGACAAGGGGGCAGAGTAATTTTGTAGTAAAAAAGAATGATTTCAGAATCATGACTGCGGATGAGCATCAATATCAGGCATCTACTCTTAAACCTGGTGAGGTGGCCAAATCTCCTTTTCAATTAGCAAGTATGAAGCAAAGTGGATGTGATACTGATAAACAAGCATTAGAATGTTAAATCATTTTAAAACCTAGGCATAATTACAGTAGCACAGAAATGAAAGCATGTTCAGTGATGGCGAATATAAATAAAATGACAGTAGTATGCAAATGAAACTATGCTTAGTGGTGGTGGTAGTACCGGTCAATCCTGTAAATGCTGTCGGTACGCACTGAACTCGCTGGCAAAGAGTTGGTAACAAATACGCCTTGTAGGCTGTGGAGAGATCTGGATCTCGTTACTCTTCATGTCAACACGAAGCAAATACTGGCCTTTATGATCTAGTCGATGGTCCACGATGCTTTCATCATTCACGACCAAGTAGACAACCCCGTCTTCATGGATGCTCAGGACAGGAAGAGACGGAATAAGCTGTCTCAAAACAGTAGACTGATAGTTGACGTTTGCCCAGATTTTATCAACATTGTACTTGGAGGTTTCGATCCAGTCTGAGTGATCAGTCAACAGAGTCCAGACCGAGAGTTCCAATCCAGATTCATCCAAGGAGACAAGCTTGATGTGGTCACAAACACAGGCCATGGAACGGAACTCCTCTGGGCGGGTGCAGAACTTGTTGATAAAGCTGGACTCCTCTAAGTTGCAATCCAGGGCTGGACAGTCTAGTGGCAGCTTGATAAAGCTGAACTTGTTGTCGCAGTCTTGGTTGAGATCACAGAGGAACATGCCTTTGAGCAGATCCACCCAGCAAAGGGTAGAGCCCCGGTAAGAGAAGCACAAGTCAACGGTGAATCTGCTGGATGGAAGGGGATGGCTCCCGGGTAACGAGACCCATTCTGGTTGTGGGGCGGACGACTTCCACAGCCAGACCCCGGCCTGGGAGAATCCTTTCTTGATGAGCTCGGCAAGAACGTAGCCCTCCCCTTGGGCGTCGCACATGACGACGGCCGACTGGTGCCCCATGACTCCATGCAAGTCGTCGGAGGGGAGACGGGGGATGACGGAGAGGGAGTCCTTCCTGGCGTCGTAGATGAGATAGCCTCCCGACAAACTAGAGCCAGGGCGGTACCCGCCGGCGTAAAGGGCGACCAGGTTCTTGTCCGTGCTGGAGATGCGGCCCGAGTCCAGGTCCATGAATGGAGGCGGGAGCGGGAGGGATTGCGGCGGCACCAGTATGTGGAGGAAGGAGAGCTCCGGCGGATTGTCGACGACTGCGCGCGCCTTGAAGGTCCGCAGGTACTTGATGACTTCATCACTCCTGGCTTCGCGGGTTTGTAGTCCTCTTCCTTCCCAGAATCCCCACCGGAACTGTCGGCCGGATAGCGCCTCATCGTGGGGGGTGAAATCAATCTCGCGGTCGAGCAGAACCATGGAACGGGCCATGGCGGCTAGCTAGCTTTGGATTAGGGTTTGGTGGAGGGAGAAGGGATTTGGGGATCGATGGTGGTGGCGCGGCTAGGGTTAGGGTTAGGGTTGGGTTGTGGAAGCAGCAGGCAGCGATTTGATTTGGGGATCGAGCGAGGAAGGAGAAGCCGGGTTGGGCTTTTGCCCAGATCTAAAATAGCAGGCGTGAAGGGGGAGACGGGACTCGCCCGGATCGCTGATCGGTCAGCGGACGGTGGATATGTTATCGCGGCAGACACACGAGGAGGGCCTGCAGTTCGGCCCAAGTTTTAGCCTGTCATCATCATTTAGCAAAAAACCGCACGTTGGGCGCCGGTCGGCAAAATAAAAATCACCAACAAAGTCAATGTAGAAAAATCTACTAAAAAATCAATGTAGCAAAAAAAAATTAACTAGCAAGTTCCAGCAAAACATAAAGCTGGTTCTAGCAAAACCACATCGGCGGTGGGAGGCGCATCCAGTTCGAGCAGAAATCACAGGAAGCAAATCTCCATCTCCATTTCCATCCATCCATCCACTACTATTAAACAAGCGAGTTGAGGCAGAAACATTAGATCTCAGCCACATATCCACCATTCATCAATGGACCAGATTGTCCCGATGTTGTATCACAACATTCACATATTTATTAATTAATTTTAGTCATCACCACAACACGTTTAACTACGAATCATTGCGCTACCTTCATTAGGAGACAAATCATCACATCATATATCATATCATTTTTAGAACACCTAAATTAGGAATCAATGTACCTTAATTACACGTTCATTAGGAAATAAATCGTGACACCACATATCCTGTAATTGGAAAATAAAATATTAGCCAAAAGATCAGAGCTAAATATATATATATATATATATAGTATATTTTTTATAGTCCAGCCAGCCTTGTTTTTTGATTTCCAGCCCAACCGCTGTTTGTTGTGTTTTTTTATTGTCCACCCCAGTTTTGGGAAAAAGGCAGAAAAATTCGGCGCACCTAACGAGAATAGAACTCTCAACCATCTTGCACCTAAACGCATCCACTGGAACTAATGAATGCTGGTGGTAAAAGATCAACGCGAATATTTAAGAACTCAATGCTGCATGAAACCTTGTCTGAACAATTTATTGAAAAATTGTGAATAATTTTGAAAATGCCGCTTTTTTTAAAACAGAAGGAATTTTTGGAACTCCAAGTTTTTTTTGAAAATTCTTAACAAAAATATAATTCCAAACACTTTTTGAAACATGAGAAGTTTGGGAAATGCGAACAATTTTTTATATCCTGAAAATACTTTTAAATGTGAACAATTTTGAAAATTCTGGACTTTTCTGAAAACACGGACAAATTTTGAAAATGGACACATTTCTTGAAATTCCCAAAAAAATCAAAAAAAAATGAAATGTTTTACGAAAACATGAACACCTTTTGAATTTGTGAATAATTTTTTAAAAATAGGAGCATGTTTCAAACATTCAGAGCATTTCTTATAAACAAACTAAAGTTTTGTAGTGTAGGATGAACTTTTTATATATACAATAAACATTTTCTTTAACAAACTGAACATTTTTTAGTGTACTGTGAACCTTTTTAATTTTCTAGCGTGTACTTGTATGCGCTGATTGTCATGCAAGCCTTTTATGCCTTGCGTTGGATATGTGCATGTGCTAGTACGTACCTTGATATGCACAAAACATGCAAAGCTCATCGAAGGATCAGCTAATGCATGTACTGGTGTGATGACATGCTTCCTTCCCTATGTATCCTACCCATAACAAATAACTTCCACATTCAACAAATGAATTGTAGGGCTTAGTCACGTAAGAGGCAAAAAAAAAAATCAGCCCCATTTACGAGTCGATAGTGGACTTGCAACCGAGGAAACAAATGTAGGCTCAGTTGTGAGTCAAATAATGGAGTTGCAAACTAGGGAAAAAAGGTCAAAGAGCCCAATTGCATGTTAATGGTGGACAACTCTGGCAAATAAAAGGGTCAACCCAGTTGCAAGTCGATGTTGGACTTGCAATTGGGTAAAAAACGTCGGGCCGAATTGCAAGTCAAGGGTGGACTTACAAATAGGGCAAAAAAGGGATGAAGGGCCCAATTACGAGTCGATGTTGAACTTGCAATTGGGTAAAAAACGTCGGGCTGAATTGCAAGTCAAGGGTGAACTTACAACTAGGGCAAAAAAAGGATGAAGGGCCCAGTTATGAGTCGATGTTGGACTTGCAATTGAGTGGCCGAATTGCAAGTCAAGGGTGGACTTACAACTAGGGCCAAAAAAGGATGAAGAGCCCAGTTGCATGTTAACAGAGGACTTGCAATTAGGTTGAAAAAAAAGGCCCGGGCCTAGTTACAAGTCGTTGGTTGACTTGCAACTGCGGTAAAGAAAAGGATCAAGAGCCCAGTTTGAGCCGATGGTTGTCTTGTAATTGGGATAAAAAAGGGGTGGGCCTAGTTGCGAGTCGATGGTTCACTTGAGATTGGGACAAAAAAAGTCAACACCTAGTTGCGAGTCAAGAGTGGACTTGCAACTAGGGCAAAAAGGATCAAGGGTCCAGTTGCATGTCAGTGGACTTGAGATTGGGACAAAAAAAGTCAACACCTAGTTGCGAGTCAAGAGTGGACTTGCAACTAGGGCAAAAAGGATCAAGGGTCCAGTTGCATGTCAGTGGAGAACTTGCAAATGGGACGAAAGAAGGCTCGAGCCCAGTTGCAAGTAGTTGGCTGAGTTGCAACCACGGAAAAGAAAAGGATCGAGAGCCCATCTTTGAGTTAATGGTTAAAATAGGAGCGGTCCCAGTTGCGAGTCGATGTTAACTTGCAAACTGTGACCCAAAAAAATCAACACCTAGTTACGAGTCAATGGTGGACTTGCAACTGAGGAAAAAAAATCAGACCTAGTTGCACGTTAAGGTGGACTTGCAACTAATGCAAAAAAAAGACTCGAACCTAATTATAAAATAGAAGAAACATCAAACCGGTTGCGAGTGAAGGGTGGACTTGTAACTGGATGAAAGGATCGATATAGTTGACTAGAGGGAGGGGGTGAATAGGCAACTAACATTTTTTAGCTTTTCTTTACCAATTTAAACTTTGCATCAAAGTAGGTTGTCTAGATGTGCAACTAGGTGAGCAACCTATATGATGTAACAACAACAAGTACACAAGCAAGTAAGAGATGCAACACAATATAAGCTTGCACAAGTAGAGGTACGAGATAACCAAGAGTGGAGCCGGTGAAGACGAGGATGTGTTACCGAAGTTCCTTCCTTTTGAGGGGAAGTACGTCTCCATTGGAGCGGTGTGGAGGCACAATGCACCCCAAGAAGCCACTAGGGCCACCGTATTCTCCTCACGCCCTCACACAATGCGAGATGACGTGATTTCACTATTGGTGCCCTTGAAGGCGGCGACCGGACCTTTACAAACAAGGTTGGAGCAATGTCCACAACTTAATTGAAGGCTCCCAAAGACACCACGAAGCTTCACCATAATGGAATATGGCTCCGCAGGTGACCTCAACCGTCTAGGGTGCTCAAACACCCAAGAGTAACAAGATTCGCAAGGGATTAGTGGGGGGAATCAAATTTCTCTTGGTGGAAGTGCAGACCAGTGCCTCCTCAACCAATCCCTAGAAAATTAACAAGTTTGATTGGCTAGGGAGAGAGATCAGGCGAAAATGAAGCTTAGAGCAACAATGGAGCTTGGGAGTGGAAGATGTGGTTAACTTGGAGAAGAAGACTCCCCTTTTATAGTGAAAGAACAAATCCAACCGTTATCTACTAACTCAGCCCGCGACGAGCGGTACTAGCACACGATACAAGCGGTACTACCGCAAGGGCCCGCGGTACTACCACGAGGCTGTTGGAAATATTCCCTAGAGGCAATAATAAATTAGTTATTATTATATTTCCTTCTTCATGATAATCGTTTATTACCCATGCTATAATTGTATTGATAGGAAACTCAGATACATGTGTGGGTACATAAACAACACCATGTCCCTAGTAAGCCTCTAGTTGACTAGCTCGTTGATCAACAGATGGTTACGGTTTCCTGACCATGGACATTGGATGTCGTTGATAACGGGATCACATCATTAGGAGAATGATGTGATGGACAAGACCCAATCCTAAGCCTAGCACAAAGATCGTAGTTCGTATGCTAAAGCTTTTCTAATGTCAAGTATCATTTCCTTAGACCATGAGATTGTGCAACTCCCGGATACCGTAGGAATGCTTTGGATGTACCAAACATCACAACGTAACTGGGTGGCTATAAAGGTTCATTACAGGTATCTCCGAAAGTATCTGTTGGGTTGGCACGAATCGAGACTGGGATTTGTCACTCCGGTTAACGGAGAGGTATCTCTGGGCCCACTCGGTAGGACATCATCATAATGTGCACAATGCGACCAAGGGGTTGATCACGGGATGATGTGTTACGGAACGAGTAAACAGACTTGCCGGTAACGAGATTGAATAAGGTATCGGGATACCGACGATCGAATCTCGGGCAAGTACAATATCGCTAGACAAAGGGAATTGAATACGGGATTGATTGAATCCTCGACATCATGGTTCATCCGATGAGATCATCGTGGAACATGTGGGAGACAACATGGGTATCCAGATCCCGCTGTTGGTTATTGACCGGAGAACCTCTCGGTCATGTCTGCATGGTTCCCGAACCCGTAGGGTCTACACACTTAAGGTTCGGTGACGCTAGGGTTATAGGAAATAGATATACGTGGTTACCGAATGTAGTTCGGAGTCCCGGATGAGATCTCGGGCGTCACGAGGAGTTCCGAAATGATCTGGAGGTAAAGATTGATATATTGGACGAAGGGTTTTGGAGTCCGAAAGTGTTCCGGAGGTACCAGGTGATGACCAGCATGACCGAAAGGTGTTTCGGGAGCCCCGACAAGTGTTTGGGGGCTTCATGGGCCAAGGGAAGGGGGAAAACCAGCCCACTAAGGGGCTGTGCGCCCC